TTGAGGACCACACCCTTTACCAGGTTTGCAGGTCCTCTGTGCCCAGCACAGCAAGGAACGCACAGTGGTTGCTCAGTAGATATTTACACATTGATTCACTTGGGGAAAATAACCTCACAGCTTCTCCACTTGAGCCCTTTCCTTACTTAATCACTCTGGGTGAATCTTTAAAACTTACATTCAATCTCTTGCTTCCTTTACGTTTCAAACATGTGCCTTAGGCTTTAGGCTAAGCCATCTGTGTAGAAATTTGAGCACCCCCAGTTCCCTGCTGAGTGAGTTTGGGCGAGGTGTCCATACTGCTTTGTGACTGGTTCCACAAATGGGAGCCCCAGGGTCTCAGCCAATGGATGTGAGAAGTCCAGGAGATGCTGAATGTATATGCAACCGGCAGATTCATGCCAGCCACCCTGTCCGCAATCAGTAAGTACCTGTCAGCTACTAAGAAACGGAAGGTGCTTGCGAGACCCCTGCTCCCTGTAGTCCCAGCTACTTAGGAGGCTTTGGTGGGAGCATGGGTGGATGCCAGGAGTGCCAGGTGGGGCTGAGCAACAGCCAAACCCCACCTCACGGCAAGCACCCCACAACCAAAAGTGAATGCATGCTCCTCGTTATCCGATAAGCACCCTTCTCCCGCTGCATTGTTTCTGTGCAGCACGTACGGATGTGTCCATGTTAAAACGTATCACTTTTCGCTCTGCCCACCCATTACATCACGGTTTCCTGACTTCACAGTGATTTCCCAACGGATCCCGGCAGTCCTATTCCATGTGGCCACCAGGTGGCTGTGTCGGCCCAGCCAGACGCCTACTCTGGCTGGTTCCCTAAAGGCCAGGGCTGCTGGGTTGACAGTTGGTCTGGGTCCCAGAGGTATTGGTCACGTGGCTTACCCGGGCGGGGCTCCCTTGACTCCACTGCCCTGGGCTTCTGCTGCTCTGGCCTCTGCCTGGAGCGCCTTCCACCCTGAGCGCCCCAGGCACCATGGCGTTCCCGTGGCTGAGGCGGCTTAGCCACCGCCCTGCCCAGGTGCTGGCCAGACATCAAGGCTTGAAAAGAGCCACCTGGGATTGATGGGTCACAGGGGAGCTCTATGTGGAGTCTTTTGAGGAGCCACTACACTACTTTCCAAAGTGGTTGAACAAGTTTACACTCCCACCAACAATGCAGTAAGGTTCCCTTCTGTCCACATCCCCTCCAGCATCTGTTGTTATTAGAGTTCTTGATTATAGCCATTCTACCTGGGGTGAGGTAGTATCTCAATGTTGTTTTGACTTGCATTTATTTTATGGCTAGGGAGGTTGAGCATTTCTTCATGTGTCTATTGGCCATCCTTCTTTCTTCTTCAGAGAAGTTTCTCTTTAAGTCTTTAGCCCACTTACTTATTGGGCAGTTGTTTCTTTGAGGATTTGTTGTTGGGGGATCCAAACAATCACAAACAAGACCATACTAAAGCTACCAGCACAACTATGTTTATCACAGCATTATTCACCATAGCTAAGATATGGAACCAACCCAGATGCCCCTCAGTAGATGAATGGATCAAGAAAATGTGGTATATATACACAATGGAATTCTATGCCTCCATCAGAAAACATGACATTACCCCATTTGTTAGGAAATGGAAAGACTTGGAAAAAATTAGATTAAGTGAAGTAAGTCAGGCCCATTAAACATAGGTCCCATGGTTTCCCTTATTTGCAATAACTAGTATAAGTTGAGAACAAGTAGAAAAAGTCAAAAGCTATGTACATATGATCATATAAGATGATGTTAAGTGAATGAACCCGAAACATTGGGACACAACTTGTTTTTTTTCTTTCTTGCTATTGTTTTTAATGTATCTAAAACGTACTATGTGAATTTTTTTTTGTTTGTCTTGTATGTTCTTCCCCCACCGTATAACCCCTGTTTTCACTGTATTTGATGTCGGTGCCCTGCATGTTGGATATGCATTTTTCTAATTTGGGGAGGGGAAGGGAAATAACAAAATGCTGAAACAAGGATACAGGTTGACCCATTGTAACAATGACATGTACAAGACACTATGTTGAAAGCGAAGTTTACAAGGGGGGGGGGAGAGTTGGGGAAGTGGGGAGGGAAGGGATGGATGGTAGGGGAGAAACAAAGGAGGGGGTAACAATGCTTGATAGGGAATGTAGTCATTACCTTACTCATGAACCTGTAATCCCTCTGCACACTATTTTTACAGTAAAAAACATAAAGAGTCATCTGTTCTGGTGCAGCTGCCTCATAGAGTTGGCTACTCAGGAGGCTGAGATCTGACGCGGTTCAAAGCCAGCCTGGGCTGGAAAGTCCGCGAGCGTCTTCAGTTAAATACCAGAAAGTATGGCCATGGAGCCTTGACCAAAAGAGCGTGGGACAGCTCCCAGCCCCAAGGTCAAGTGCCAGCGGATACCAGCACGAAAGAAAAGGGCAAAAGAAGGCCATCTGGAAAGGCCTAGAAAACTGAAGCACAAGTCGCTCAGCATTGGTTCCTGAAGAGACAGGAGAGGGCGGGCGGCGTGCAGGGCAGTCCATGGCGGCCAGAGCCACGGCGGCCAGGTCCACGGCGGCCAGGTCCACGGCAGCCAGCGCCATGCAGTGCGGCTTGCGAGTCAGCGCAGCGGGCCATGCAGTGTGAGGGGAACAATGGGCAGGCGAAAGTGAGGTCTTTGTCCGTTTTGGGTTAGGGCCCCCCACGTGTGCAGCCCCCCCGAGGCCCACCCTGTGTGTAGGCCACTGTGGGGTCCGTCACAGACCGCGGCTCCTCTTCCCCACGCGGACAGGACAAGCCCCGCCACCAGCAGCGGTGGCTGCAGCAGCCCAGCTCCCCGCCAGGCCTCTAGGGATCCCCGGGCATCACCCCACTTCCCCCTCTGACCAGGACACGCGGAGACCCCAGGGGACGTCACACAGTGCGCGGGGCACACAGGCTGCACGTGGGGAAGAGCTGGCCCTGTGCGGAGGCGTCCGCCTTCAAGCCCTCGCCCAGCCTCCAATGCTCTGAGCAGCTGGAGGCCGTCCATGCCCGACTTCAGCAGCTGGAGGCCATCCATGCCCGACTTCAGCAGCTGGAGGCCATCCATGCCCGACTTCAGCAGCTGGAGGCCGTCCATGCCCGACTTCAGCAGCCCAGAGGAGGCTCCGTCAGCCCGCACGCCCCCAGGCCCAGGCGCACCCCCTCTTGTCATCCCAGCTCACAGCCACAGAGAACCCACGCCTGGCAACTTGGCCTTCCACGCTGGGAAGGTTGGGGTGTTCTAAGCTAGGGCCCATCAGAAGCCACTCCAGGAAAGAGGCTCCATCCCGCCCAGGCAGGCATGTCATCCCAGGACCAGGCCATGTGGCCCGGAGTAGACGCCATCTTTGGGGCTTAGGAGCAGCCTGTACTCGGATGCAGAGCTGGGGTACCGTTCCCATGGGTCCTCAGTAACCGTCCACCGTGAATGGCCAGCTCTGTAAACGGTCCAGGAAGAAATAGATATTCTCACCTGAAAAGAGACAGGAGAGGAGAACAGGGACGGCTCTTCTGCAAGGGGTGGGGGGAGGTAGACATGCTATTTATGGGACATGAGTGCCCCACAAAGTCTGGCTTTGATCCTCAGAAAGCAGTGTCCACAGATTCTCCGTTCCTGCTGCTGCCACTGTAAGCTTCACCCCAAGTTCTGAGGAAGAAGACGCAGGAGCACACTGTGGTGATAGTTCCATGTTACTGCATGGTTTGCAGCAGTGAAAGCAGCAATTGGCCCTCCAGAATGGCCATATTTTTGCTGCTCACATCAACTAGGGACATCAAATAACTGATTATTAGTTGAATAATACCTGGGTGATGGCTTTTATTACAGGTCTTCAGGTTGGGACTATGATTGCTTCATTAGGCTTTCAGGTTCCCAACTTGTTGGACTGAGTAGCTACTGATTTCTACAGCTCATCAGCTTCCAGATGACCATTTTGGCACCATCCAACCTCTGACCTTACAAACCAATCTAGTCAATGTCCTCTTATATCACTCCTAAATGGTTCTCCCCTTCAACTGTCTTTACCTGTCCACATGATTGAAAGCAAGCAAGTCATGTGTGATAATTCATTCTTTTTTGTTCACAATTACAAATATGAATGTTGCCCCAAAGCTTCATGTTTTCCAATCGTTCTAGTAAGATAATGTAGTTTTTATGTGTAACTAATGGGCAAAAATCACACATTTAGCAAAAGTAGAAACAGAAGTATTGTGAAGGCAATGTGCATGTCCCCAGTCACTGTGAGCACCCTAGGTCACTCTGTGTCTGTGGGGAAAAACTAGCTAAAGCTCAGTGGCATTATCATTGTGGCTCATGCCACCTGACAAAAAAGGTTCTGTGCTGTGTTATATGCACATTCACATTTTTGTAAACTAAAAGTTCTAATACGCTTGAAGAAACTTTTAACTATGTTGTGTGTTGGGGATTCATGGACTCACATGCCAGACAGCATCCTATCACTAAGCTCTACAGGCAGCCAATGATCCCTTTGCTTCAATTCTGCCCAATGGACTTTCCTCTCCAGTGCTCTTAGACACACATTATGGTTTGGCAGTTTTACCATGCAGACACCAGAGCCCCAGACCACCTACCCCATCATCCCCCTTTATCTCTCACCATCCATAACTATCTTGGTTATAAGGAAGGAGTAGTCTAATTTTGTATATCCAGGGGCCCATGCATTGCCTCCCCACTCCTCTTGCTGGGGAGGCTGAGTCCCAAGAATGTGGGGCATAGTTGTGGAGGGACTCCTGGATACTCATTTTTAAACATACCTGAGGCAGTGCCATCATTCATTAAAGGTTATAGTTTTGTCCATGAGTTAAGAAGAGACACGGTTTTGCTCAGAACCAAGTAACTTTATTGGAAGTAGTGTTTAAACAGAAAGGAAAAGGTAGTGAGCATCAGGCCAGAATAAAGTAAGTGTCTGGCCTTGTGGCTAGGGAAGACCCTCCTCCTTGGCATTAAGAAGAGTCCCACAGTTCAACCTTTCTGGTCTTTGTCACCCAGGGTGAGGCGGTCAAAGAGGTATTCGCCAATCTTATCTCCCAGAGAGCAGACTTTACGCAGGTTGATCAGGAAATGCTCCAGCTTCAAGAGCATGTCCTGCTGCTGGTTCAGGAAATTTTCCTTAATGAAGCTGCACAGATGCTTGTCACCTCTGCCGTCGGCCACATGGTACAGATCGAGGAGGCTCTCCGCGATGGTCATCTCCAGATGGAAGGAACTCTCCAAGGTCTGGAGGCCACCATGCCAGTTGTCGCGATCCGGCTGGGCGATGTCGCGCAGATTCATGCGGCCACCACGATCATTTTGCATTTTCAGGAGCTTCTCGGCGCTCGCCTTCCATCTGTGTGACTGGCGCAGGAAGAAAGAGCTAAAATGTTCCAGAGCCACGTCGTCGCGGCCACAGTGGAAAGCCATGGACAGATAGACGTAGGAGGCGTAGAGCTGCAGCTGGATCTGGTTGTTGACCGCCAATTCACAGTCAGAGTGGTAATTCTGTCGCATCAGCACAGGGCTCGATGGCCCTGAGGTGGCCATGGGAGTTGGAAGGAGGACAGCGAGGAAGAAGGCAAAGGGGTCTTAAGCTCTGTGGCCCTAGGATGAAGTTTTGAACAGCAGCTGGAGGAGCTGGTGGTGGTTGTACCAGGGGGCAGTTGGCGAAGGAATGGAATGCGTCACAAGCCCAACCAGAAGTACGTAATTCCATCCGGGCATTTGGCAAACATGGCGGTCTGGGATTTCGTGTTACTGGCGTTCGTAGGCTCAGCCTTGGGTTCTGATTTCCATGCACAACCTTTACAGTCTAACCTATTTAATAAATGGAAAGACTTCGAAAAAGTATTTTTGGAAGTTTTTAATGAGAGCTGGGAGCCACTGCCTCACATCTGGAATCCTAGCCATTCAGGAGGCTGAGATCTGACAATCGCCTTTCAAAGCCATTCTGAGCAGGAAAGTCCTTGAGATGCTTTATCTCCAATTAACCAGCCAAACGCTGGAAGTGGCGCTGTGGCTCAAATGTTAAAGCTCTAGCCTGGAGCACAAAAAGCTCAAGGACAGCACCCAGGCCCTGAGTTTAAGCCCCAGGACCTGCAAAAGAAAATTATTTTGAATAATCACTTGTTTGATTTCGTTAACTAGTGTATTGGAATACTGATCAAATGTGATGATTTTATTAACTGATGATATTAGCTCTATTTCATACCATAAATCTTTTCTTTTAAAAATGACAGCTCTGTTCTGTCACTTCTATGAGAAAACTAATGACATTTCTAACGGAGGGCTCAGGTTTAGAACCAGAGATAAGGGTTATTGGCAAAAGTGCTGAGTTCCATTAGTAACCCAGGTCAATCTTGGCTGAACTTCTGAACTTTCTGATATTTAAAAGTTATTCATGAGCATAAATAAAACCTCCTCCTTGGTTCCTCTGAAAGCTTTTGATGTATTAGTAGAGAAAATACCATCAGCCATGTGGATAAACAAATCACCTCCAACCTTCATTTTACTTGCAGTAACGCACAAGACCTTTTTTCTTGTGCCAATTCTGGGGTTTGGACTTAGGGCCTGGACACTGTCCCTGAACTTGTTTGTTCAAGACTAGTGCTCTATCACTTGACCCACAGTTTCACTTATAGCTTTTTGATAGTTAATTGGAGATAAGAGTTTCATGGTCATTCCTGACTGGGCTGATTTCAAAGTGTGATCCTCAGATATCAGCCTCCTGAGTACTAGCATTATAGGTATGAGCTACTGGCATCCAACTATATTTTTGTCTTTTAAACCTTTATATACATTCTATAAATTATATCAGCATTAGTTATCTAGATACTACATTAATAGAACAGGGCAAATTTAATGCAAAACATTGTTAAGCTATGAGCAAAGAACAAGTACACCATGTATATACAACTTGATTGGGTGCTTGATTGGGCTAAAAGAAAAAATGAAGCTGGTTTCTTTCTCCTAGTCTGAGAAAAACAGATACTTACAGCCCACTGCATGGCAGAGCTGTTCAGAGTTGCTTAGTTCAGCGATGATTCTCAGAGAAAGCAGGAAGCAATCCTTTGGGACACAAACAAGACTCAGGTTGTTTTTATCCCAATTTTTTTTGTGTGTGTGTGTCAGTCATGGGGCTGGAACTCTGGGCCTGAGCACTGTCCCTGAGATCTTCAGCTCAAGGCTAGCACTCTACCACTTGAACCACAGTACCACATCCGGTTTTCTGGTGGTTAATTGGAGATAAGAGCTTTTCCTGCCTGGGCTGGCTTTGAACTATGATCATCAGATCTCAGCCTCCTGAGTAGCTACAGTTACAGGTGTGAGCCACTAGCATCCAGCCCCAATGTTTTTTATTAACACACATTAGTTGCACAAAGGGACTTCCACTGTGACATTTCCATAGATGCAGATGATAGGCCCCATAAACCTCCCCCTCTATCATTTTTTCTTATCACTTTCCCCTTTCTTCAAACAATTTCAACATGTTTCATTGTTCTGTTTACATAAATGCACAAAAACTACTTCAGCCATATTCACCCTTACCTTCTCCATTCAGCCTTGCCCCTCCTGTTGATACCCGCGTCCCCCAGATCCTGCTCTCCTCTCCTGTCATTTTTAATGTATATTTAATGTATCAAGAAATTTCACACAAAAAAGAAATTTCATCATGAAGAATCTAGGTAACTCTATCATATTATGAGCATATCTATACATACATAACATATGCTATGTTAAGCTAAGGCTAATATTGTACTTGTTCATTGTACTTTGTTCATTGATTGATAACAAAAACAATAGACATACTTTTTACAAGTAGGCTGTCCCTGAGAAATTGTCTGCTCATTATGTAAAACTCACCTTATTTTATTTCTTTTTAATTTTTCCTTTTGACAGTTGTGGGGCTTGAACTCAGGGCCTGGGCGCTGTCCCTGAAAACTCAGAGCAAGAACTCTACCACTTGAACCACAGCGCACTCCTAATTTTTGAGTGGTTAATGGGAGATAAGATTCTCATGGGGACTTTTCTGCCTGAGGCCAACTTTGAAACTTGATCTTCACATCTCAGCCTCCTGAGTAACTAGGATTACAGGCATGATCCACAGGCACCAACTAGTTTATTTTGTTTTTAATTGAGACTTTTATAATTCTGGAGGCACAATGAAACACACATTTTCTCCCTTCTGATTCTGAACTGTTTGATTTTCAGCTAATTACTGACATCTCTTATGTGATGATGCAGTTTTAAAATTACAAATAGCTTTCATAATCAGTAAATTCCAAGATTTGTCTGAGAAAAATAACTGAACTTCAAAATACATCTAGTAACATGCTAGAGATTACATGAGAGGATTTAAACAGTAAGTATTTTTTCTATGTAAGAATTTATTTTGCATAGAAAATAAGTCAAATTTGTTAGGAAAATGGAGGAGAATGGAAAAGGAATAGGCTAGACTTGATAGTCAATAGACTAGGACTTTTTATTGCCAGCAAGGAGGACAGACCTTCCTGAGGGTTTGGAGGTTGTGCAAGGGACTAGATTTTGGGGTGGACTTATATAGGGTTTAACAAGGAAGCAGAAAATAAAAAAATGAGCTGTGGTCTCTTGGAGGCCCAGGGAGGTATCCTTGGGCAGGCCTAGAGTGGAATGCTTTATCTGGAGTGAGGGGCATTTTCGGCCAAGCCTAGGTTGGAATAACCTGTCTGCAGACAGGCATATGGTCAAGCCTGTTCATGTGTACCTGGGGTCTTGCTTGTCCTGGGGGAATAAGGCAGGAATCAGTCCTTCAAAATTGACATATTGGGGCTGGGAAGGTGGCTCAGTGGTAGAGAGCTTGCCTTGCATGCCTGAGGCACCACATAAGCAAAAAGCAAAAAGCCGGAAGTGGCGCTGTGGCTCAAGTGGTAGAGTGCTAGCCTTGAGCTGAAGAGCTGAGGGACAGCGCCCAGGCCCAGAGTTCAAGCCCCATGACCGGACCCAAAACAAAAACAAAAACAAAAACAAAATTGACATATCTTTCTGATGCTTTTGAGTAAAAATATGTTTCGGTATACATTTTGATCCAATTGCTCTTACTGCATGATTTTATGCCCTATATTTTCATGATTGTAACTAATCAATAAATAATTTATAAATACAATTTGTTAGTGTGTGTGTGTGTGTATGTGTGTGTGTATGTATGTATATTCCAGTCCTGGGCCTTGAACTCAGACTGGACACTGTCCCTTAACTTTGTTGCTCAGATCTTGCACTCTATCACTTGAGCCACAGCTCCACTTCTGACTGTTTAGGTGCTTAATTGGAGAGTTTCATGGACTTTCTTGCCAGGGCTGACTTCTTACCTCAATCATCAGATCTCAGCCTTCTGAGTAGCTAGAGTTACCAGCTTGAGCCACTGGTGCCTTGCCACAATTTGTTCTTATTATCTTTCTTGTCACAGTAAAAAGAAGAAATGTACTCACTGTCTTACTTATATAACTGTAATCCCTTTGTACATCACCTTGACAATAAAATAAAAAAGAATTTGAATATATATAGTGTATAATTATTTTCAAATTACAAGAACATAGGATTATGATTATGTCTTTCTAGGCCACTCCCTATGGACATGTGTTAGTGGATATTGTAAAGGAATATATTTCTCATACCATTGGTCTTCTCATGTTTATTAAGACAATTTTTATCAAGGTCTTATAGAGCTGAAAAAAAACTATCTTATATTGCAAAGTACTATATTCTCCTGGATTCTTGGGAACAATTTTAGTTCTAATTTTCTATCTTGTCTAAGCTAATTTTATTTGAGAAATGACTGAATGGAAGAGGGAATATTCTATTCTTGAACATTTCTACTTAATTCAGCATTTCTTTTATCATATACACTCGATCTAGAATTAGAGAAATCAGTCTTTTCATAATGCATTTTATGTTTTCTTTTGAAACCACAGAAGTATTAAACATTTTCAAAGTGTCACTATCAACTGACAATGTGAAAAATGTGAGATTCATTGATGATCAAAAGTTTAATAAGCATCTGGCTTGATATAATCCATAAAGCCCCAGTGAAGTGAACACTGTTGTAAATTCATATAAGGAAACCATATCTGGAGCAATTTACCTCAGCCCCAGGATGAGAACATGGCAGTTCTTGGGTACGAACTCACTTCTAACTTGCTCCACAGGCCACACTCTTAATGTGCTTCCTAGACTCTCAGAAATAAAATATAATTCTCTTTGTCAGATAAAGAAAATAATTCATCTTACGTGCCCCTAGAACAGAGTTCTAACAGAGATGTTGTTAGTCTTAGAGGCACTATAATCCAATTGAATATTACAGCGGAATAAGTAATCAGTTCTAGCATCTGGCTGATCAGAGGTTTTCACAGCCATGAATATTCCCATAGGAAAATAGCATAAAGTTTATTATGGACAATTTTAAATTAATTCATGGTCCAAACACATGTTTCTTTAAAACAATCTTAATAAGGACATGAGGAACCTGTTTAGAAGTGTTTAAAAATGTGTTTTTTTAAAACAAATCAGAATTG